AAGCAGCTGAAATATCTGTCTAGAGATTGTATAATATGAAGGCAGCTTTATATTATTTGGAAGTTCATCTGTTCAATAAGGTGCATCTCCATTCTATTTAATCAACTGCTGCCATCTGCTGGGGTTAGCACTCTATAGCACTTAAAACTGAAGCATTAACGAATCATCCAAGCAGTTCAAAATGAACACTGTCTTTTTGTTTGCCATTTGTACCAATTATTATTTTAATTGAAAAATCTAGAAAAGAATAATGAAAAATCAGCCTTTTTGTATGTGGGGTCAACAATTAAATCAGGTTTATTTATAATCATTACACGATAAAAGGGAAGCTATCTTTAAATATCTTCAATATGGAAATTAAGAACAATTTTGCTACATACATTAATTAGATAATATTTTTACAGACTGAATATGATAGAATATGCCGCCTTTAGTAGAATTTTGATGTAGGAGAATACTAATGATCAGAATCTATAAAAGAGAGAGCAAAAAAAGGGGAAAGGGGATTTAAAGCAAAAAAATTCAGTTGGCCAAATCTTTCTCACATATGTTCATGTCAGTTTCTATTCCAAGTAAATCCTGGGAAGGAAATAGAGATGCACGAGGATGAGAGGGTAAGCTGTTGTATCAACAAATGTCTGCTTTCCATGGGCTCAGCTGGAAGAGAAGAATTAGGCAGATGTTATCACTAGAGATGTAAAAGCCTTAGAACAGGGGTGGCCAACACATTAAACAGAGAGCCGAAACAGCGGTGGGGAAAAAAATGCAGAGAGCTGAACCTGAATATGTTGTTGGGGTTTTTTGAGCATTTTTGTAGAGCAAAAAAAAAAAAAAAAAATCCCCATCAGCCCCCCGAGTTGTTGACCAAAAAAAAAAGATGCTGCCCCTTTAAAAGACATGGCCATTTTGAATCGCTGCACCGGATGGCTCCCCTGCCCCAGTGAGCACGGGAGGCCGGGGCCGTTTCTAGGGACACAGGGGCGGCTTCGCAAGCCGCACTTTAAGCGGGGGAAGAGCCGCATGCTGCTTGTGAGCCACGGGTTGGCCACCTCTGCCTTAGAAGTTGTATAATATATCAGGTTGGTCTGGGGTGCCAGTATGAGCATCAAATCAGGGCAAATTGCTTAGAACCAGGGCTACTTAAAGCCCAAGACTGGAGTCCGCCCTATAAGGCACAAAACTAGTCACACACAGCTGTTCAGCTGCCACCCTAGCCAGCAAGAAGTCTCATAAGCAGCCCTTTAGACACCTCAGCTTTACCTATGTCACAATCAGCACCACTCCTTAAACAGATGAGAGGTTATGAAACGATTCTCACCAAATCCGAACAGGTTACTCCTTGTCCCAAAGGACCAACTACAGTCCCATGTCAATTTACACCTCAGATCTTTCTCAAAAGAGCATTCTGTGCCAATCCTTTAGAAACTAAAATCTAAAGGATTGTTAATAATAAAAGAAAGAAAAGATTGAGAGTAAGATTGTTAAAGAAAATACAGTACATACATCACCAAGTTTTTGATGCAGGCTCTTAGTAGACTGCCAGCTTAAAAGTCTCTGGTGTACATCCTATGTTAGGATGGGTCCATGAATCCTGCTGGGCTCTCTGTCTTTGGCAAAGGTGCTTCTGGAGTGGACTGCAGGAGTGAAGACAAGATTGAGGCACTCTCAGGATACTTTTATAACCTTGACCATTCAGAGGGAAAAATCTATTGTTCTTCTGGGTGCTGGTTCCTCCCAAAATGGAGCTGATCGACCACCAAATCTGTCTGTCTCCTTTTTTGGGCAAGGAGCCATAGAATATCCAGATGTGTTCTTCTCAGACATGGGGCCATTGTGCGCACCTTAGGTGTCAAGTGGCAACACTTAAGTACTTCTGTCCATGCAGCATTCACTATTCATTGGCCACCACGCTTCACAATAGGTGGTCCACACCTACTGCTGTCTTCCAGATTGAAAACATGTAAAAATATAAGGACCAAGCCCGTATTCATAACTTTACACACAAAAATCATACATGTATATGAGCAGTACAGACAGAAGTAGCATAGCAAAAGCTTTCATTTGTCACTTCACATGGCCCACTTTGCACAGAATGTGGGGCAAACACACGTCAGTGTGTGCAACAGTGATCTGCCTGATCGCACTAAAATCCAGTAACATGACAAATTATAACAAATACAGATCAATACAATTGTAGAATGACCTTAAAAGTGCTCATACTATATCTATATTAGAGCATAAATCTTTTGTAGAGATTCTCAACCAGTGGTTGCTATAGTATTCCAGGCTAGGCAGTACCTGGATATCTAATCCCATTTTTTTTTCTTCAAACAAAAAGCAAGCCGCTATTTAAAACCTTTCCAGTACACATTATAAAACTGCAAAAGAGGCCACAACCCCATTTTTTCTTTGCAATTAATGTTTAGATTTAATTATAGTTAACTATTTCATGGCCAAAAAGCTGCTTAGCTTGTAACCAGCTTTCTATATCTATATCTGTACAGTGCCAGAATAATGGGGCTATGATCCTGATTGAGGACTCGGCACTATCATTGTATAAATTACACATTTTTATAAAGTCAGGGGCATGTTATTATGGACACAGAGCCAAATTTTAAAAAATATAGCGAGAACAAATAAAATCCTTTATTAGATGAGGTTAGTAAAATTGTAAATAAGTATTCAGGGAAGGTGTTTTTCAATACATACTTTGTCTTTAGTTGGGAGAAAGCAAGATGATATACTCACATTTTACAGGAATGACTTTTTTATCACAGCTGTTTTGCCAGTAAATTTGCCGGACCACATAACTTTCACCTAAAAATTTGAAAATAGTTGGCTGAGATGCTTTCTGAGGTATTGCATATTGATATTTAACAAATCCTGTGGTGTACTGGCACTGAGTACAAACTTGAGGTAACAGAAGATCACTGTAGCAATCTGAAAGAAAAGGCTGCAACCTCTGGCTACATGCACATGGGAAAAGCACTGTGATGGGATTATCACCTGTACATCCAGAAGGAGCTGAGGATCAGTAAACAAACCATAGGGCCAGTAGGCAGTTATAGTTGTAGAGTTTAAGGCCAGGAAGGGGAGCACCAGATCATTCTAGTCTGATCTTCTGTATGTTACAGACCACCAGAATCCACACATTAAGCCCAACAACCAAAAATAGACCACAATATAAGAGCCCACAAGAGACAACTGTATTATGTGCTACAGAGAGCAGTTGACAGGACCAAGATGCACCTGTGTGATGACTGAGAAATGATTAAACAAGAGAGACCCAGGTAATCCTGTCAAGTGAGCCCCACACACACTGCAGAGAAAAGTGAAATATCCCCAGGGTTACAACTAGTCTCGGCCCCACATATGGCCATCAGTTAGACCAGAACCGTGTGAGCAAGCTCCTGCCAGCCAAGCACCTCAGGGTATGCTTAATACCACTTTAAATCACTGGCCTCATCCAATGGCCCATCTCCAGCTGCAGCTATGTCTGCTGCTTCAGAGGAAGTATTAAAAACTAAAATCTCCCAGAATACATGTGAAGGAAAAATACTTTCTTAACCCTCACAGGTGGCTGGCTGAAGTGTGACTTTTTAGGACCATAAGACATAAACTGGGAATTGGCTCTAGAGCTCCTAAACTGTCCCTTCCATCACAAGCAACACTGTCATACGGATGCACTGATAAATTTGTCCAGCTTTCTCTCAGAACTAATTAAGGTGGTGTTCTATACAACTCCTGTTGGGAGGGTGGGCTGTTCCAGAATGTCACTCCTCATGGTTAGGAACCTTCTGATTGCCAGCCTGAAATTTTGTAGCCTTTTTTGTACCCATTTGTTGTTGTGCAAGCAGTGTCCTTTAGCAAAAATAGCTCTTCCTCTCTCTGGTATTTACTCCTCTAGTACAGTGTCTCTCAACCAGTGGTATGAGTACCCTCAAGGGTACTCGAGAAGCCTCGAGGGTACATCAATACAACTGCAATTTGAAGAAAACTGAATTTTTATTTATTTTATTTTAAGTTTTACAGCGTTTTATTATGTTTGTACTTTTTACACCCCAAAATTTCATCGCCCACAGCTACAATTAAGTTGTTTAAACAAATGTGTTGCAATGGTAGAAAAAAATGTTGTGCATCTGAAAACTAGATACGAGGGGTACTTATAATTTTTTTTTAAAGGGGGTACTTTATTTAAAAAGTTTGAGAGAAACTGTCCTAATGTACTTATAAAGGTGATCGGGGCAGCTTTGTCACCTCCTGCAACTCATCATCAGAACATGTGACCTGCCATACTTCTGGGCCTCTGAAGTTGAGGACACTTCATTGCTCAGACTCCTTTGTAGTGTCCAATAGAAAGAGAAATAAAATTGTTCACACAGAATTTTGCTGTAACTACATTTGCAAACCACATGGTATCAGACACCTTGCAGCCTTTAGTTGGGATACTTGAAAATCAAATGTGTGCACTATGGGAACCTTCTTGCCTCCCTACCTCTAGCTATTAATTCTTTGCATTTCCCTGTGCTCTAAGATACTGTATAATCTGTCTTCCTGGAATGTTAAGATTACTGCTTCTGTGTCACTCCAAGCACCTGCTGCCCCAATATCTGACCATTCAGCTCACTAGAGCTGTTGCAATTCAAATCAATGAGGTCAGCTGTCATAGTTGTGACTTGGTTGTTCCTTCTCCCGTTCCAAGGATGCATTCTTGACTATTAAATCCACTTCTGCTTTAATATGTATTGTAGTCAAGGGATTTAAAACCTGTCAGACATTCATTCAAAATGCAATTATTGCACAACTAATCACACAGTGTGTCAGAAGTTAGTTCCATTAAATTATTAAATCTTATAAAGAAATTGTTATTGGTAGTTGTCAGATTATTGTATTATCATTTTTATTAACAATGTAAATGTGGTTTGGCAGAGCAGGTGTGGTGTGTTAAATTAGAACTATGGTAATTGCCTGTCTTTGTAATTTAAGTGTTTTCTTTTCAGATATACTTGAAAGAAATTTTAAGAGAAATAGGCATCTACAATGTAAAGGGAACCCATAAAAATACATGGGAGCTGAAGCCAGAATACAGACATTACCAAGGAGAAGAGAAGAGTGATTAATGCAACTGTTTATGAAGCAAACACAGAGGCTACAGAATAATGGAACTGCACTGAGGGAACACTGCAGTTAAACAGACTGGACTGAGCACAATTCAGTACCAAGAGATCTTTAAAACAGTAATACCTTGTAATTTGCCTGGCTTCATTTTTAAAAACAAATAGTTTTTGGATATTTCTATACATTTGTCTTGTTTTTGACAAAAAAAATTATAGAATAAAAGTTGTATTAGATTTATCTTTATTAGAAATCTTTTGAGTTTGGCTTTGTTTTTTAAGTGGTTTTGAGGGGGTTTTTTAATTGCTAACTTTAAAGTAAAACATACTTTAGAGTCACCCCGTAACTTTGTGTTTTGTATCCCAGCAGTGCTGAGTATACATTTCCACATCTGCTGTGATCCTTAGGGGTCTGATCCTGAGACATCCTTAATACTGAATGTGTTGAACATCCTTAATACTGATTGGAAATTTGTGGGCACTCTTTGCTTTCAGGCCAAATCGTTAGGGAAAAGGAGCCACAGTCATGATGATTTCAAGTCTTCCTTTAAACAAACAATGCTCAGTTTGAAAAAAGCTCTCTAATCACCGGTTAATGGGAGGGAGGGGAGCCACTGCAGTTCTGCACTGAGGAAAAACTACTCTGGCCCCATAAGTACAGCAAGGAATGAATAGAATATTAGTATGTTTGTTTTTAAAATGTGATCATGTTTTATGTTTAAGCATATCAATAAAGAGAGCATTTAACTTGTACCAAATAAAGTCATGCATATTATTGACTGAATATTAGAGCTCTGATAAACTAAATTATACAGATATGGATGGCAGGTTTTAGACAGTTTCTGTCCCTGAATTTGCTACTGAATCTCCCTGTAACATTGAGAGTCACTTAACAATTATGTGCTTCACTTTCCCCATTCTTAAAATGGAAATAAATCTCCACTTTTGTAAAGCTGTCAGCTGACATGTCCTGTTGTAAGTGTGAAGTATTATCCTTTTTATTTTTTAAAAAAATTGTTATTTTGCCATTCCAAAATTTCACATAAAATGTGAAAACATAAATAACGGTGCATATAAGTGAACTCAGTTATAGCACTAGTTTAAGATTTTTAAGACTTTTCTCTTTAAATAGGATGAATTTATCTGAATCTGTCTTGGATATTCCTTGCTTCATCACATTTTTTGACATAACTAAAATCTGTGTGTCACTTGTATATAGATAGTAATGAACTAGGAAAGATCTATTTTTTTTAAATACTGTAATTGGTGTACCTCAAATTAATAAAAGCATGGCAAGGGGATGGGATATTTCAGAGAAGATTGGTAAAAAGATCCAGAATCCTCTATCTCTGTGCCATCAATCTGATTTCTAAATGGATTGCTCACCTATATTCATGATCCTCTGATAGCTGTTTGATTTATATGATATAAATTAGTAGCCAGTTAAGTTCTTTGTAGGTAAATCTCCAAATAGAAGATTGTATGGCACCGTTCTAAAAATAGATCAATTGCACGGTTTTTGTGTGCTACTATAAATAATGGCAACAGCTCCCTACATACTGTATACTGTACTGCCTGTGTACAACTCATTGTCTGCTTTGTGAACTGTTTGGGGGTACTGCTAATGAAGCTACACATATGAGAACACCCTTTTCCCTGTATTGATCTGAATTCTCCATAAAGCCCATCACTAACAAATATGTGCTTCCCCAATAATTTAGAATAAGATGAAGGATCTTTAATGAATTTCATGGAGACTTCTCCTTTTTCCTTTCCCAGGTAAAGGAGGCTTTGTTGTTAAGAGTAAATGCCAGTGGTTTTATTAGCTCAACAAAGTGGTACAGTAACAATTTTTTTTATTCGAAGAATGTCTGTTGATGAGACACAAACTTTCCATCTTACACAGAGCTCTGTTTCAGAATGTCAAAGCTTAATGTAAGGTTGAAAAGATGTGTTTGTCATTATCAGGTGGATTATGCAGAAAATGCTTTATCACTGACTAGTCTTTCAGAATTGCCCAAAGATGATGAGATTCTGTATTCTAATCTTCACTGGAATTTTGTTCTGCAACTGAGCTCCTTCAGCCAAGGCGGTTTTAACTTCAGCTCAGCCGTGCTTTGTTACAGATTTTCTGAGCTGCATCAGCCATGGATGAGTGTGGTCCATGGATACAAATAATGACACTAATGTAGTAGAATTTTAAGCCACTGATGGCTTTGAAAGTCAAGATGAAGGCAAAGGAAATGGAGCAGGAGCCAAAGGAAAGACTGTAGCTCAAAGACACTGTTTCATAGTGGTATATCCAGATGATGTAAAAAATGTTCGGGTGGGCGAGGGGAGAAGAAAACTGTATGAAGTTTACCCTACTTGCTTACCCTGTGTAATTGGCCTAACAACATATTATTTATTTTCATGAATGTTAATTTACTGTTTCATAATCTATCTTCAGCTGCTCAGTAGTTTTGCAAAGTGATTGTAGTGACAGTGAGATGGACTGATCAGTCACAATAACACAAAAGGTCAGTAAAATTTAAGAAATTTGGTTATTTTAGTGCTATGCAGAGTATCTGTTGCTATAGGAACTAGCCACTGTTTCCAGAAATTAAAAGCATATGAGATAAATATATAAACCAATTCAGAATGATTAACATGAAGCCACTAATGTTGCCAGAAATAAATTTTGATATTTTAAAAAAAAAATCAACTAAAACCTTAAAGTTAATTCAATATGTTTCATATTGTACTCAAGCTGCCAGCCCTGGCTCAAGCACACTGCCAAGGAAAGCAAGAAGCTCTCAGAAGAGAGGCTCTGCTATAGGTTAGGAAAGTTCAATTCCAGGAACCAACAGCAAAACCATCCTAAGTGATCTTTGCCACTAGGATGGATTAGATAAAAGCAGACAGTCTCTCATGTAACCGGGTCCCATGCTGTTAAGGATTTCAAGATGATCACCCAACTAAGGTTGCCAAATTTGGTTGGACAGATTCCTGGAGATTTCATCACATGACATTAACTTTATTTAAAGATGTATCTTTATTCCTGGAGACTGCAGGACAGTCCTGGGCAGTTGGGCAACTCTATCATCAATACCCCCTGACGCAGAGATTGGGATATAACTGTTGTGTTCTTTGCAAGTTGAGTCACTCAAGAGCCGGGCCACTGTGCTGTTCTCAGGCTGAAGCTTGCAGGTCATCTTCAGACATTGACCTAGAGACAGAAAATACTTCTATCAGCTAATTCATCCTCCTCGCCCCCTTCCTGATTTCAAGGTTCTTCCATATGGTAACACACATTTCTCAAGCTTGTTTGAGTTAGGGATGTGATGAATAATCCCTTCAAATACCTACTATTCTGAGAAATGTAGTTGCACAGCTGCAAAAATAGTGTTGGGATTCTGGTTTTTATTTTTTCTCCAGGGAGCTCCTCCAACAGCAGGGACAGAGAAGTGCACTTGACCATAGTAGTCTGATGGGAGTAGTCTGGCATTAGCTCTCCCTGACTGCGTACTTATTCATTTCGCTACAGAGTTGCGGCAATGTCTAACATGCTGGTTGTTCCTCCAGACTACCTTTTCCTGCTTGATGACGATGCCTGCAATAAAACTGAATTCTTCTCTAATGCAAAGGTTCCCAAACTGTGGTTTGTAAAACATGCTTTGTGATCCCTTGGAGAACTGGCTGGCCACACGGTGATGATACTCCTTGTATCTACCTACTCAATTTCATTGAACGGTTGTATTTTTAGATTTATTAGTTTCCCAATGTTACTTTGTGCTTCATGTTCTGTAGGTGCCACAGGGATATTACATACTCCTGAATAGAGGCAATTGATGGCCTGTATAGTAGAAGGCCCTACCCAGAAAAACTGGGAATCCATCCTGTAGTGCAATATCTTATATTTTAGGCTGTGTAGTGGGCTTAGGATCATGTGCACGTGAAGTATAGTAAACATCAGCTGGAAAATGTCTGAAACCGCACTCTTCTGTGTTTAGTTGTTAAAAACAGCTTCTGAAGATTTCAGAAAATAAATGTGGAAGGTCCCAAACCTTATCTCAATTTGCCATGTAAGACAACCCAGTCTCTGTCCCAGAGAGCATACCCTAAAGATGACAGACAAATTAGATGCAAAGAGCATTAGGGATGTTGCACTAATGCAGCTGTGCTGGTATACATCCTTAGGGTAAACTCAGAACACCTTTTCCAAACCAGAGGAAACCACATTGGTGCAAAAATGAAGAGTCTTGTTGCAATTTAGAGACTAACAGATTTATTAGGTCATAAATTCTCCTGGGTAAAACCCACTTCAACTCATCTGATGAAGTGGATTTTACCCATGAAAGCTCATGATCTAATCTATTAATCTCTAAGGTGCAACAAGACTCTTAACTATTTTTATAGTTACAAATTAACATGGCTACTCCTAACACATTAGTGCAGTTATCCCAGTGCAAAATTCCCTAATGTAGACAATATCCCAGGATATAGGATTCATGATGAAGGCAATGAAAAAATCTAGAAGTTGCAGTCTCCAGAAAATTATGTGGTAGATGGGTGGATTGAATTTAGAATGTGCATATGTAAGTCTGTATGCTCTAGAATATAAACTTGGAACAACAGGTTGGAGTAGCTGATGCTAGACAGTGACAATTCTGGAGCGTTGCCTTACAAATAGGTAGTGTTTTCTTTGCCACCTCTCAATGGGACAACGTGAATATTACAAGCATGCTGGCAAAAAGTCACGTGTGTTTATTGACGATGTTACTGATACTTTGATACAGAAGTGAGTGTGATCGTATGGAGTGGGAACTAGCTGTTAAAATCCCAGTGACTGCTCATCAAAGTCTATTCTGTTTTGAGTCACTTCTGTATTGTCTTTACTGGCTGCTTTAAATTGGCTCTGACTGAACATGCCTCCTGTATGTGTCAGTTCTTCCAACCCACGTTCAGATGTCACCATCACTAAGATGGCATTTGATTAATCATCATATTGACTCCCAGCAAATCATTTCCCTTGATTGATTATTTTTCCATGACTGAGAGCACTTCTGCAGACTCACTCCCTGCATAGGTCCTTTCCAGTAGCAGTTCAAAGCTGTGTTCACCAGGTGTCCCTCTCAAAGGCAGCCTGCCCTGTGGTACACACAGCCATGGAAACACTTCTGCAGAGATTTCCTGCCTTTGCATCTTCAAACTTCAAGATTGGTTGTTAGTTTTCAGGCTTTTCTGCCTTTCGCCTCTAAGCTTCTCATCGTCCTGGGTTGTTTATCACTCATCCTCCCAGCTCTCCTGCCACCAAAACATCTCCATCTGCTTGTGCATGGCTTTATGAGTGATGAGATATTCTCTCTATCCCACTTCTCCCTCAGAGTGCAGAAGGTAGGGGCCTATATGCCATGAGCAAGTGATGGATTCATAGAGTCCTGTCTTGAGAGTAAAAATGGAAAGACTGGGTAACCATAGCTAAAAATCCTAATACAGGCCGGAATCTGGGATTACAAAGAGGTCCTGGTTACTGGCTGGGGAAGAGATGAAGAAATGCAAAGTCCTAAGGCCTACTTTACACTACAATCAAATAATGCACAGTAGTTGGCTGTAGGGCTGCCAGTTTGGCTGGGCATGTTCCTGGGGGTTTTATCACACAACAATCTGCAATTAAAGATTAATTTAAGTCCCTAGTGGTCAGTAATAAGCTTAGTTTATTAGCACCAAAGAGGCGCAAATGTGGACCAGGAAAAAAATAACCAGTATCATTTCAGCTAGCCACTCTTATCCCTTGTGATATAAGCAAGATTTGAGAACACTCATCTGAAAAATTGCAACGTGGGATGAATGGGGGGGGCACAGGACAGAGGATTGGTGAGTGGGGGGGGCCCAGGGCAGGCGTGGAGGTTCAGGACAGGTGCTGGTGGGAGGAGGGAGAGGAGTCTGCAGCCACTGCACTACCCGATGCTG